AACGGAATGACTCGGGGACATATCTCCACAGATCTTTCAGTTGTGCTGCAGCAAAGCGAGATGAAGCACAAAGTGCTGCGCAAGTCGCTCATTAAGCGCGAGTTTTTCCAATCACAGACAATACCTACTCCCTCGCCCTCTCGAGAGATTTGCACACGGCCTCACCTGTAGAGGCACAGATCGTTGTTGCACGGCCGCAGGCGCATCCCCGGGCTCGCATGCGGCTGCCTGCACACGGGGCACCACGTGGCAACCTTTCCGAGCTTGGCGCCGACCATCTGCAGGGCGGCCGTGAACACGTTCCCCTCCACCGCCAGAGCCTCGTCCGTGCACCCCAACTCCGCCCGGTTGATTGCCCCGAGCTCTTCCTCCAGCTCCGCATCAGTGCGCCGGCAGTGCACTAGGGCGTTCAGGTCGAGCGGGGCGCTCTCTGCTGACGTGGCGCGCGCGTGGCGCACCAGCAGGGACGCGCGAGCGTGCTCGGCGCCGACGGACATGAGCGTGAGGATCGACTTTTCGTCGTCCAGGTGTGGGGAGCGGATGCGGGCGTGGGCGCGGAAGAAGCGGTGGATCAGCTCGGGGACCAGCACCTGCGCAAAACACACAAGCTAGGTTATGGAAACTGAGATTCGGGACGCTACCAGTCTAACCTAACTTTGGTGTCGACGTTCGTCTTTTGACGTGGCAGCGAATTAGGGGGACGACTCGCAAAAGCTCCTGCATACCTTGAAAAAGAGCACTTTATCTAGAGACGTTTGATAACGGGGACAGTTTCACTCCCTCCTTTCCAGCGAGGAGTGGACAATCGGAAGATCTCTGGACAGAACACCATAGGATCGCCCTGAAGAACAACTGCTGGAAGTGGCCCCTCACGCAACCTTGCCCGGAGAGAACGCAGCATGGCATCGACGAGGGATCATTTGCCTGCACCTCGCTGCGACGTTCGCATAGAAGCTGTACCAGCTCAACAGGTGAAAAGGGACCCAAATAAGAGCCAAAAGAAGGTCCAGCAACACGCCGACACCCAAGGACCTTACATGACAAAGTTGAAATGGCCAAGAGCTCGAAATGTCTTCCGAGGTTTGGTACTATTCATCGCCTCGTCCCGGGAACAAGCTGTTACCTTGGATCCGTACGCGCTCCTCTCGTTCTTCCCCGGCGTGTCCTGGTCCTGATTGTCGCCATCCCTGACCCCCGACTCCCGCCGGCTCGTGCTGACGTCCTGGGTCACGTGGACCTGCTCAGGCGCCAGCTTCTTCGTAGCTGGGAGGACGGGATCCACCCAGAGAGACGAGGAGAAGGCCAGGCTCGCAACTAGGGGTTCTTCGTAAATCTGCATCCACGGTAGCACACATGAGCTCGGACAAAAAGGTTCTCGCTTGCAGAATGTACTGAAACGAGGGCCGCTTGAGTACACTGCTATGATGGCTGGACACCCTAAAGCTTGCGAATGCATACCCTTTCGTCAAGAAGATTCTCTTGACATGTCTTCGATATAATGTTCGCTGGCAGATCTTTCCCAATCCCTCCATGCTGAATTCGAAAGCAGGGTAAAGGGATACAGCTGCTGCACTCAGGAAGCACCCTTCGGGGCAACTTACCAGGCCGAGCGCGAGAGCGTCCGCCTTTTCCATGAAGCCTTGCAAGTCCCAGGACAACTTGACACGCAGCAGGTCCGGGATAGCCTCAACGCTGCACCACTGCAGGATACCATACGTGCTCCCTGGAGACAAAGCGGCAGGCTGTGTGAGCGGTCTCGACTTGTGCTGCTTCAGCTGAGGGCACGAAGGGAGATATGAGACAGGAGGACATTCAGGGCCTCTCTGCCATTTAGATTTCAAACGCAAGAAGAAAGCAATTCAAGCGAGAGCTCGGCTTAGTGTTGACGACTTACATCTCCAAACGGACCATACAAATTATTCTCTTTCAAAGGCCTTGGGAGATCCGCCTCAGTTGCATCTATTCCTGGTCTTGGATCATATTGCAGAAATCAAGCAGGCAAGGGAGAAGAAGGTTTTGATGCAAATCAAAGCAGAAAATTAGGTACAGTCTCGTTCACCTTCCGCAAACACCTCATCTGCTTCTCCTGCCTCTGCACACTGACACCGCGCCTCCTCTGCAACCTTGTACAGGTACGAGGCCTTGCGTACCCGCAACTCCCTCTCGCTGACAATGTCGTCTCCTTTAAAAACAAGGACGTGAGTGGTTCAGTCTTGACACTGATAATCACTATGTTTACATCTGAGATGTCACGTGTGGGGTGAGGACACACTGTAAGGAGAAGATCATCATTTGCTGTATGCTACTAGAAGTGACGGGCCTCTTGTGTACCTTTCCAGGAACATTCAAAAGTGCAGTCAAGTTGTTGGATGACTGTGACATGGGGCTTGCCTTGTAAAGATGATACACAACAAGCAGAAGCAAAAGGGGCACAGCCCCAGATTGCCCAGGAAGATCAATACCGAGACTGCAGATGTTACCTGTGGCCATGTCATAGCCATAGAAGTCTGGCGCTTCATCGTCTGAGTCTTCGCCCTCATCGGACATGTCGGACACCTCTTCAGGGTCGTAAGCGTCGTCTGCCTCCTCTTCCTCATCTTCACTTGCCCCGCCTGCAGGCGTTCTTGGCTGCTCTGGCCTGCTTTGCGTGTCTACAGTACCTACCAGTTTCTCCATAAGGACTGGCACGGTGCAGTCAGCAGGGACTAGCCGCTCCAGCTTCTCGTTGATCCTCTGCAACGAAAAAAAGGATTTGCATCTGTGGCTCCTTTGTGGCCGTGTTTGAGCATGGCCCGCAGCCAGCAAAAACCCTCAGGGATTGCAGTCCTCTGCTCATGTCTTGACTAGGGAGAAGTGATTTGTCATTGTTGGACCACTTTGGTTGGGAAATGGTTGCGCTTTTGCATCATTTTGTCTGGACCAATTTCAGCTGGTAGAGATGGTATCAGATTGTCAAAATGCAAAACCTTGAAAGCTTTGAACTGCAGCGCTATCTGACACATCTACCCTCTATGTGCAAGGGCTGCCCTAGACAACATCAAGAGCCACATTCTGAGGCTTTTAGGCCATCTGTGCTTGTTTTCCAAGCTTTGCTTGAAATCTTGCCTGGTTTCTGAACAAAGCCAAGCAAACGGTTTGCAAAACAGACATCATCTACATAGTGTGGAGCTGCACTAACATTACAGTTGCAAGGAAGCGCTTGAGCATACCTGTAACATATCTTCCATCTGGCCCTCATAGGTGGCTGCAGTGACAAAAAACTGGTCTCCATCGTCAATGTCCTTCCCTGTTCTGTGGCCAGACATGAAGGCTGCCGGCAAGGACACACTTAGCTGTCTCCCAGCCACTGAGATCTTCATGGAGTCTGACCCCACACCCAAGACTTTGACAGTGTCACCATCAGTACCGTCAACCCAGGCTTTGACCTGCTTCTCAATTTCTCTGCAGCGCTCCGTCACAGCCATCTTCTTGCTGGGTCTTCTTTTCAATCTCTTGATCCAAGTGCGCAGCCGCTGCATACCCTAAGTCAGAACATTGTACAGAGCGATGCTCAAACTGCTGAAGTCATAGCTCAACACCCTTCAAGGTGCATGTCCTCGCGACCATCTATGTAGCAACAACCAGTTGCAGTCCTGCAAGATCTTGAAAAGGATGTTCATAAAATGAAAACACGTTTCCAGAATAGGAAAGGCACATCAGACTGAACAAGGCAGAGCTTGCCTTCCCATGCAGCGTTTGTTCAGAAAATACTTACACTATCAGTAGTGACTATGGTATTAGTGTGAGTAGTTTCGGTCATTCCCTCACCTCTTAGGCCGGATTCCGTGGGCATTGAAGGGGATCCCTGGCCGGGACAGCAGCGCCTGCAATTGCACACCACCAGACTAGTACCGCCGATCGCGGAGAGCCGTCCGATCCTGTGTCCATGTGCTTAATCACA